GGACGCAGAGCCAATTGTGCCTGCAGATGCGGACGTGTTTATCTCCGACAACCTCTGTGTCTGGAGCGAAAGAACGTAACCCTTTCTGCAAAAAACACGTGAGATTCTACAATATGTAGTTGTGAAGAGTGCACCACAGCGGGCGATTTGGTGCAGCCATCGATTCGAACTGGATGATCCCCCTGGCGATATGATACAGGTCGAGACTCCATTTGCAGGACCAGCGGGGTATGTAATATATAGTACGCAAGTAAAACAAACGTGAACTACACAAGTAAAACGAGAATTTTTGGACTGCCAAGTTCCGAGTGGTCAACGACGCACACGCACAAATGCGATTGATTCATCAATGGATATTTGCTTCGAAGCGGCTCATGTCTGAAGAGATGCTAAGCCGAGCCGACCTATGAAATTCATGAGGCCGACTCACGATGTACAGCGAGCGTGATCTCTCACACTTACATTGTCAGCTACCGTCGCACATATTTTGGATCAGGCTAACTTTTTGGTCGCGATGGCAATGGGAAGTATCGACCATAACGTAGCGTACGTACTAGCGTATACTCTTTTCATTGAGCGCAGAACTTGAACGGTAACCTTAGATGTATGTGCATGTCAAAAAGCTGTGTAGTGTTGTCAAGCAAGAGAAAGAACAGCTTTACATGACTCAGCTGAAAAGCTCAGCGAGACGGATGATGATTGACTTCGTCTCTACAATTCACCTAAGCGTCACATTACTCGATCAAACGCTTTCGCTAAGATTAGCTGGAATGAAGACACCGTCATACGCCTCATTGGTGCCAAATAAGCTATCCAAGGTACCAGGCGTCAATGTCATATCGAATACAGGCATTTTAGCGATGCATGACTTGTCCAAACGTTCAAGATCACCATTATTGGCGACGTACGATGCTAGCAGCTCCACACCGCAAGTAATTTCGTCATCGTCAAAAAATGTGGAGTCTATCATAGAATGCGGTGCGTAGTCAAACAGTATGAGCTTCTTTCTGGGCGTATCGAGCGACTCAAATAAAGACGTGGCGTATCGGTAATGAGCCAGCGGGTCTAGTTTTCCATTCATCAGAAGCACGCTGGCTTGCTTGGGTATAAGAGCAGTTTTGTTCCAGAATTGATCACGCGCATATATAATGCTGCCTGCTTCGTAGTTGCCAAGTTCGGGTTCCTCACAACCCGGCGACTTTTCTTTCGAAAACGCGCAGTAAAAGCGACGCGTGTAGAAGGCGGCTCCACTTGCAATGTTCACATCTGCAAGTCGATTTTGGAGTTCGGTGTAGGAAGGTGAAGGCGTCTCCCACATTTCGGAAAACAAAATAAGATAGTGGAGCAATACAGACATGTGACCCGGATCTCCATGCGGCTTAGAGCCGAGTGCCTTTCTAGACTCGAAGAAGTGTGTCAAGACGCCGACATCATCCACATCGCAGCGATGGAGCCTGTACACTAACGGTGGTATTACGAGCCGTGTTTCGGAATCCTTGATAAGTCTGCCTAGTGTCCGTCGAAGTACAACGGACGGCTCTACCTCACTCACGTTTCGTATCAAAGCAGCACAAGTTGAGTTGGGGTCCATCTCAAATGCCGAAAGCACGTTATGAAGTGTGGTCGACACGCTAGTGGCACTGAAGTGAGAGCTGCAGTCGCTGTCTTGCCCACAAAGCGCCATGAAACGCTCACCCACGTCACCAAAATCAGCGTCCATGTTCGTGAAGTGTGCCATATCGTTCGGTGCTCCTGAAAACGTCACGACGCTGTCTAAAACGTATCCAGTCACGTTTAAAGGATTGAGGTGCATCAAACGTTGAGCTACCATCGTTCCGTAGCTCACGCCGAAAACAACGGTACTTGCACCATTTGTGTGTGCGGAGATGAAGGCAGCGATGTCCGTGGCAGCGCTTGTGGTCGAGAACGAAGAAAGATCTCCATACTTTGCGTGCAGTTCTTCAGCACATGAAGGGACTTCAGATATATCAATCAAGCGGCTGGATGCAGACCCACTCGTCTTGTTTTGCGATGACACGCAGTCGAGTAGCGTGCTGCGTCCAGTGCCGCGGTGGTCCATCGTATACACGTTGACTGCTCCTTCTAGACGCCAGTTTAGCGTCTCCATAAGATACTCCACTTCAATACACAAGAGTCGGCGATAAGTTTGGAGGATTCGGATACTGATACTGTATCGATACGACCTTCACGTACAGTCCGTCGAGGGAGCACCGGGTCCACCTGCAATGAGCCAAACGTTAGACGCTTTTTCTGCATCGCCCACCGAAGCCGACAGTCGCTTGACAAACACGTCGATCGTCGGCTTTGCGTTGGTCGGTGCCTCACAGATGCCGGGGTAACATAGAGGAGCCGCAAACATCGCGCACTCGGCAGCGTTATCGCCATTGTCTGTCCCGTCCGACACAGTGTACGTCGAGCACGGGTACCACTCGTGGAACACGTTGTCTACGGGAACAGCTGACGCCTCTGCCGCTAGCCCCATCACTCCGGCCGCGAGGACGGCTGGTACGTGACGGAGCCGCATCTCTTTTGCCCTAAAGTGGTGTATGCTTTTGCGTGCCCAGAAGCGAAAAATGATTGTGAATAGTCGCGGAAGAATGTGCGCTACGCTATCATTGTTTGGACTGAATCGGACAGGGCAGACTGCCGGTGCGGAATGTGACATTTGCCAGATCGCCTTCGGACACATTGTGTCAGCTGCTGAGGTAATATTCATATTGACATTCTTTGAACTCGTACATCGTGGAACGGGTCGTGATTGCGCATGATCTTCGTAAAGCCATTGTGACGGAGCATCGTTTATATTGTGGCGAATGTGGATAAGTGCAGCCATCAAAAACGTAGGACTTCAAGCGTGGATAGCGCCATAATCACTGGATATCTAGAAGTAGTGTTGCAGTTCCGGATCTCATTGTTCTATTGACGCGATCTCGATTCTACCAGATACTACGTCATTCATAATCATCGTGTTGAAGTCGTTGCCAGAGCTAGTCTGCGTATGTATACCGACATGATCCACGCGCAAATAGTACAGGGTCCAGTGATAGGAGGCGTTTTGCTTATAGTAATTTAAAGCGTCTCTATATTTGGTAGACGTCGCGCCGACTAGAAAAACCCTCGACGTGTCACTCGTTTTGGGTCGGAATCATGTTCTGACGGGATGAATAAGCCCTCAAAGTATGCTTGAGCTGTTCGAGATGCCACTAAGTAAAGCAAGCTTGCATCTAGTTTGACGTCCGGATGTCTATATCTTTCCACAGTAGCTGTATTCACCATGTTATTGGTCTCGACTGCTAATTGCCTCGGCTTATTTTTGGTAGTGTATCGTTCTGATGATACTAGTAAATCAGCCCGTGCGACTAAAATTTGCATCATCTGCATGCAACGCGCATGAAAAACTTTGCTGTCGTCTACTAATGTAAGTAAGAAGCGAGCAAGCGTCATGACCAATTTTTGTGTCTAGTATGCACATAAATTTAGCCGCAAAAATGATAGTTTGGCGTCGACGGATGAAGTAGCAGTGCGGCTGCTGCACACTTCAGATAGTAGGTAGGTCCAGACTCAAAGATGCTACATGGATACCAATAGCCTACGTAAGCAAATAGATGACAGTATACGTGGCCATATAACGAATCGTTTTCCACGAGCACATCTTACAAAAGGATCTACTCATAACGAAAAGAATGTGAGCTATCTTCTACTTGTGATATGTTAAGGGAAACGAATTACCACAAACTATTGGCATAAAAGTTGAAGTACCGTGATGAAAATCCAGTACATGTATTTGTGCGTTTAGGCGGCCGAAAGAATTATAGCTTCCGATATTTACGTTTTACGTCCATCCTGTACGATGACGATATTCGCCCATACTGGATCACTTGTTTTATCACTATCAACGCTGTATGCTTCCGCGTCGCCGTGTATATAAGAGTGTCGACACCACGTGTCTACACTTGTCACATTCCTCATCATATCGTGATGTCAAAGTCCAGCCCAATGGCTTTGCAACTAAGCTGCTCAACTAAATGACGCCACAGGGCGACGATGCAGAAATTTTGCTGAACCACTTTGAAGAAACGGGGTCAGTAAACAAAACTGATAGATCTGGCGCTGCTGAAGATACGTCACCATCATGCACACCGGAGCTTCGGAATGGAGTTGTAGTCCGTTAATAGTGCGTTCTTAGAATGGTGTGCTTTGAAATGGATGTTGTAGCCCAGTAAATGCATTCTTAGAATGCAGCATTGCCAATGCGTCGACCGTGCTCTACACCCGTTACGTCTGAGGACTGGTGTTGACTGCATCATTAGGCAGTCAACACCAGTCCTAGGTGAGCTGATTGCCAACGACAAATGATTAGGGACGAAGAAAAATCTGCCTACGTTCGTGCACCAAACATGGCTTCTTTTTGTTGACGTGATAACGGCTTCTGGACATATGACAACCATGGCTGAAGACTCTACAGCCCATGGACACACAAGAATCGTATGTGTCCAAATTCGTGCCTGTTGAACTACTTACTGGTTCGATACACTCATCACGTAGTTAGCACGCCGTCACCTCTAGAGTATCCTACTCCTTTCGATTCGATCGTTGCCAAACACGCAATCTTTTTAACGAAGGTGACATTCGATGTGTACACACCGTCACATAGTGCATCTACTAGTTTCGTTAAGATCCGACTTGTAAAAGTTGCAGATAGCAAGTGTTCGACAACATCTGACCGTGTGTCATTCGTTATCGATTGAGGAGTTTCAACAGCCCAGGCTGACCGGTACGGCCCAACCAAAAAAGAGAGGAATACTACACGTCCACGTTCAGTTTTTTCACAGAAGAGGGAGAAGACGCCAGCATTGTGCATTGGCGCCCATCGACTTTTAGGTTTGTTTAGGCTCGATGTTAGCATACGACAGCTGCACACATGTTAGCGTAATCGAATCGATACAGCTCCAATGACCGCGACAGCATTCGCACGCACTTCAATCTCGAGCATCGTCTACAAACGTGATCGATCGTGTCATGTCCTCGTACTTTGCCTTGGCCCCTCCATTCACGACACGATGGTAGCCACTTGAGCCCCTTCTAGCTCGTCCAGAGACCGCTAGGCGCCCGGTTGTAAGGTACAAGTAGATGCATGCTGCGAGAAACACCAGCATACTTAGATTCCAGCCGAGGGGAAGCCCAGCGCTGAGCTGCTCCGCTAACAACTCCGACTCGAGAGAGAATGTTACTCTGCGCTGAAGCGCCTCTAGGTATAAAAAGGTACCTGTCAGCCATGCCACCAGTTCAAACGAACTGCTGTGAGCTTCATCCGGCACCGATCCGTGTTCCATCGGTTGCCTTCGGAAGCTGTCAACAAAGTGGACGCGCTCATCATAATCCTGGACACCAATCTGCTCGAGTAGTACCACCGTGTAGCTCAAGTCGAAGCATAGAGCACTAGGCGGCTCAATCGTCTTTTCCATAACAACGGCTAGAGATGCCGCCTCTAGCGCAGTTGAATGTGGACGTACCATCCCGGCTGCTGCGTCTTCAAACGGCAGCTCACACAGAGTCTTGGCAGCATGTCGAAGCGCCAGGAGCGACGGGGCCGGTAACATCAGCGGGCTCACATCATCCTCGTTGTGTGTATTGCTCACGTGCTCCAACACGCGATTTGCACGAAGCACCGCTCGTTGTAGCACTCCTGACGCGTAAAAGGACCCAGACTTTTGTGGTTGGGGCACGCCTCCTAAAAAGCAGAAACTCTCAGGTGGACAATCTACATTGCTCGCGGCAATATGCGACCGGAGCAGTGTCATGCACTCATCGGCATCCCCCGCGCCTTCCACAGTCACGTTCACATCTTCCACGACCAATGTGTGACCTCGAAAGAAGCACGGATGTTGCACAGCGTCGGCACTGTTGTTCTTCGCGTGCTTCAGCTTGACTACCGCCTGCTGCACCTGCTGGCGTCCAAACCCAGCATACTCGTAGCCGTAAAAGTCACTAGAGTTCAGCACGACGTTTGTCTGGCGCTGTCGTTTGCCGCGTCGCCATCGTTCACGCACATCGAAGACCACTGCAGCAGCATTCGCGTCCGACTCGAACCGAGACTGTCCAGCGTGTCCCCCTGCATCCACGTGCACCAGTCCAAACACTTCAACTTGGCCAGGACTGAGTGATGGCGCCACGCGCTCGGAGAAGTAGTTGATCCCAACCACGTGGAAATAGAGACGCCACGCAGCTGACACTATCCCACTCGACGGGACGCTGTCGTCGTCTTCTTGGCGTCTTTCGTCCACAGCAAACGGAAAGTCACGGTCGTGCCACGCCATGTCCCTGAGTTGCTCAAGACGCCTCGTCACACGTGACGCTGCGGTCGTCGTGTCGTCGGGTGCTGGAAAACCAGCTGGCACTTCGGAATCCGCGACAAGAAAGTGGGCGAAACACCGGCGCGGGTCGTCGCGGCTTTTCAGCCACTCAGCAGCAAGATCCATTGCCGGCCGCAAGATCTGAAACGCTTGGGTCGTGGCCTTTTTCTCGTCCATCTGCACGTTGCTCGAATTGTGCTCGAGTGTTCCCTGTAAGATCGACGACACGACCGGCACGTGGTCGTACACATTGATCGCGTCCTGCTCGTACGCGTTCTGCAGAACCAGCACGCGCGTGTGCGTTCTCGCTGCGACGACAAACACGCGGCAGTGCGCACGTGCGGGCGGCGGCATGAACACGTCCCGTAACGGACTTCTGGCCGTCGACGCGTCTGCGGCTTGCGTCCAAAGCAGCAGAAGTAGCAGCAGCAGCAGCGATCGTCGTCGTACAAAAGACGTCATTTCGATTGTACCTCACTTGGTCGATCGATCACGTGATTGGTCGGTGGTCTGTCTCTTGCGAGCGTCGGGCAAGAGACGGGTCGTTTTGCCCTCTGCATGTGGTCCACCCCGTCGTCCTCTTCGATGTACACTTGGTGTGGCACTTCCCCCAACGATACGGCCCTTGACGCGAGACATGGCCGAGTCGTCAGGGCCGCGCTTCCTCTTGCGCGCGTGCGTGTTCCTATTGCTCCTGATCGCCAGTCTGCTCCAGCTCGTCTTCTTCGCACGATTGCCGCAGATACGAATGCACGTGGCGTACTGTAATGCCACTGTCGAGTCGCATTTGCTGCTTGCGCCGCCGCCGACGAGCGCAGAGCTCACGCCGCCAATGAAGTTGTTGTTCCAGTCGCTGTTTGTGTCCCCTGTAGCAATAGAAGCACAGCAAAAAGCTGAAGAAAAACGAGTAGAACGAGAAAAAGAGCGATGGAATCAGTACGGGACGAACGGAGAGCTGGCGCAGACGAGACACGACCACGAAGGAACGTATCAAGATCTGGACATTCCGTTCCAAGGGGAGGAGGCAGTGGGCGACACACAGGCAACGAGGCTGCGGCGATTGGACAACCAGATAGCGGCACGAGAGAAAGAGGAGCTGATGAAGCTACATCCGGGCTTTTTCATGCAGACACAAGGACAGGGACACGAAGCTCTTGACTCGAAAGCTGCTTATTGCATTAATGTGGTCACGCCGAGTGACTCGCCAGGAATGTTGCTCGATTTTGAGCTGTACTTGAATGCTCTGCCATCTGCTCGGCCAGTGTATGCGTACAGCGGCAATGGAGAAGAGAAGAACGATACCTTGGGTATCGAGATGGACAAGCAGCTGGACATGCCCACGTCTGTGATTGATATTTACTTGGAACGACATCCTGTGGATAAGAAGTACTATGCAAACCTTCGTGCACCTAAGGGCAAGACCATCTGGATGATGCAAAACATCGAGTTTTTTGATCGCCATGAGCTCGAGAATCCTACAGTCGGCGTGATGATTGTCAAGAACCGAATAGGGCTGAAGAAGATACTTGAATACAGGTATCGACATCAACTTTCGTACTCGGTGTTCTACACCAAGCACACAAGTCGCGATGTGTACCAACCTGCCGTACAGCGCGATTGGACATCGTTCCTTCACCTCGCAGGCTCGAGTCCGTTCAAAAACACGCGAGTGATCCTCGAGGCGTGGGCATTGCATCCCGAATGGCCGCAAGTCATCGTTCGTGTTATCAAAGCTGATCTATGCGAGTGGATTGAGGATCGATTTGGCGACAAAGACTCGTGGCAACTCCACAACGTGGACTACGCTTGCGGCTCGATGCCTGCCGAAGAAAAAGGTCAGTTGCAAAACCGGATTGGACTTCACTTGTGTCCGAGTGAGGCCGAGGGTTTTGGCCACTACATAAACGAGGCCCGCAGTGTTGGCGCGCTTATCTTGACAACCAATGTGCCTCCGATGAACGAGCTCGTGGACGAGGAGAGCGGCGTGCTCGTAGGAGAGCCACATGCTTGGTGGTGGCAGACAAAAGGAGACTTGTTCGTGCCGCTAGCACGAGTGGGCGTAGCCGATATTGAGCGGGGCGTCGAGCAGATTTTGCTGCTTTCCATCGAGGAGCGCCAGCGTATGGGGAAGCGCTCGCGTGCAAAGTTCCTTGAGGACCGTGTATACTTCCTCAACGCTATGACCGCATTAGAAGAGAGTTTTTGCCAGGATGAGATTCATATCGAGAAACTACAGTCGTACCTGTACTAGCAATCTTCGCTCGAAAAGAGGCTGGCGGCATTTCCGAGCTTGAAGATAGATAACATTTAGCATCCTGTCCAGCAACCTAGCTTGTAAGTAGTAGTACAGGAATTTAGTTGCTTGCGTGGTTGACATTCGTGTGCTCTCTCGTCTCGTAGCGGCATCATCGAACACGAGCAAGCCTTGTCTGTGGCATAAACTCAATGTCAAGGCGTCACACACACACACGTCAAACGGTTCCACAATAGAATTACGGTCATTGTTTGTCACTCATAGCCGCTACCCGAACTCGTTGCTGTTGTACTTCTTGACAATAGTCTCGAGCTTATACATTTGAGCAGGTATCGAAAACACGCTTGATAACTGCATCCACTACTACTCTTGAATGAACTCACGCACGTTCGTCGACGGTTTCCACGCCTTCAGCTGCCTTCAACTCCTGGCGAAGCTGAAAACGTGCTCGAAGCACACCTCGAAAGAGGTCGACGGCAGCTTTCGAGAGAGCTACGGCCACCATTGGGTTTGCCGTCTCGAGACGAACGAGATTTGGTGCAATGATAATCGCAAGCTGGTCCACACCCATGTGGTTGTGCGGTTGGTACTCGGCTACGAACGACAAAAGGTCCGCTAACCACAGCACGATGCAGCGTTCGAGGTTTCCCAAGACGCTGAGTAGTTCCACATAGACGTTCTCAGTGGACGCAAGACGTTCCATGTCCCTCGTCGGTATTTCGTGCAAAATTGGACGCGGGAGTTCCCGGAACCAGAGCTTGATCAAATCTGCCACGACCCTGACGTCGTGCGCTGCCCCCTGAAAGGCGCCGCAATTGATGTCCACCATGGCTTGATCGCGTTCGGCCTTACTCGGTGACTCTCGAAAGATGTGAGGCGTCAGGTAACCCTCTTTGGCGACGAAATGCTGCTGCAGCATGACCAAGACGGCAGGAATGCGTTCGTCATAGCCTGGGACCGCAACGCGTGGCACTTGTCGAAATGGCAGTTTAAAGTGCTGGTTGAGGATCCGCACGGGGTCCACAATGTCTTCCGACTCGTGTGGACTACTACTACTGCTACTGCTACTTCCACTCATGATGCTGGACAAGCTGAAACTCCCTGAAGAGGCGGAGCTCGTGCGGGATCGGCGCTGTTTCGACAAGTACGTACGCTTGAAATCGAGAGCTACCGAGGCATCCACTGCCGAGATGGTTTCAGCCCGACTTCGCTCAGACGTTTTGCGATGGAAAAAGTCGGCAAAGTTGTCGGGAATGCCCTCGAATCGAGCTTCTTGAAAGTTGTAGTGAATGTGCATGTCGTGTTTGAACCCAAAGGGCGAGCCGATGTCCAAGAACGGGCTCAAGTCTTGCTCGCCCTGAGCTTGAGCACCACTCGAAGGCGACGACGGCGAGCCACTGTCGCTCTTGATCGAAGAGTGTCGAGGTAGTTGTATGTTGAGCATGTTTGTCTTTTTCTAAGAGCAAGTTGACTGGACGCGTCGGCTTGGATTGTGACGACCGAGCACGCAGGTCGAGTCAAGAGGCGCACAAGAGATCTTCGACTCACGCACGCTGAAAAGCTGATACGAGTTCCCGCAAACGAGAGTCGCTCGGGTCGTGAAAGGACGCACGTGGTAGGTAGCTCAGTGGCTTGCAGCAACAACAAAGTTAAAGCGAGGAGGTCAAGCGGAAGATTTCGACACACTTGGCGCAGTGCTCGACTGCAAAACACTGCTGCGCTAGCGCTGTGGTTTACTTGACGGCGCAAGGACGTGGGGCTCGATCGGTCTCGGCCAGGTGTCCCTCTGCAGCGACGGCCTCATCGAACATGCCGACCGATGCAAACGGAACATTACGCGTGGCCGTTTCGAAACGACTCTCTAGTGACAACGCCAATCTTTTTTCAATGAAAAGTTGGCAGGGTCACGGACGCAGTGCCGACTGACTGCTTTGTTTCGGCTGCAAGCTCAGATGCTTTGTCGCCATTGACCGCGGCTGCGTCATTTCAGCAACTGCACACGATGGCAACGTTCTCCGTCGTGAACTTGGTCTCGTGGGCAACCAGTCTTTCCAAGTAGCCCGTATGTTACAAAAGAACGTACCACTACGACGATTGTGAACAAGTGCGTGGAGTCGGACTCGTGAGGCTATCCACTCACATCGGAAGGTCCGATAACAAAGGTAACCGTCCTCCGGCTCGAAGTGGTCTCGTGTGCGCCTTTTACTTGGTCGAACCTCTGCAACGTCGATACATCCGTTACACTTGGTCGCCTCGCCGAGTCGCTCAGCCCCATTTGTCTCCTTTTAGCGCCGCTCTTTTCACTGACCTTTGTCTCTGGACTCCCGTTGCTAGATGTTCGTAAATTCGTAATAGTTTCTGTCGTGTCTGTTCCTCGAGCAACGTTGGACACTTCATCGGCCTAAGATTCGTTGCGTTTCGTACGCACTCGGGGACACTCATTCATCCACTTAAACTCAGAAGATACGATCACGCCATGGTCTTTAATCGCGTCGGTTGCGCATGGAGTCCGAGATGCTAGGGTTGAAGGTAAAGTCAGCAAACGTTGTGCTGAGCACCATGGATTGGTGCGTACACACGCTGTCCACGACCGGCTCGGACGTGAACTCGGCGTCAAAATTGCCCACGTCGAGCTCATCCTGCACCACCGGGTGCCACGGCGGTGCCACCTCCCGCTGCATCAGTCCATTCCAAGAAATCCCCGCAAAAAACGCATGGTCGCGCAGCTCTTGCGCCCCACGCGATCCAAGACGTTCCGTCGGACTGAAAGTAAGCAGGCCACAAATTATCGACGCAGCATCGGGAGGCATCTCCGGCGGCATCATCGTACTAACTAAACCAGGCGTCATGATTTTTCTTACCATGACCTCGCGATTATCGTCAAAAAATGGATGCACACCTGTCAGCATTTCGTAGAGAAACACGCCCAGCGACCACCAGTCTACGGCAAATCCGTATTTCTGCAAATTGTAAACCTCAGGCGCCAGGTACTCGGGACTGCCCACGAGCGTTTGCGCCCCCTTGTCCGAGACCACGTTTAGCTTCGACAGTCCGAAGTCGGTAATGCGCAGATGTCCAGAGGCTTCAACTAGAATGTTCTCGGGTTTTAAATCACGATACGCTACCTTCAGCCGATGCAGATGCTCCAGCCCAAGTACCAGCTCGGCAGCGTAAAATCGACACAGCTCATACGAGAAGCCTTCATCAGACATGTGGTGAAAGAGTTCTCCGCCAGAGCAATAATCGGTCACGAGGTACAGCTTATCTTTGGTCTGGAACGAAAAACGCAGCCGCGCGATAAATGGGTGATCAATTTCCTCAAGAATCAAACGCTCGGTCTTGATGTGTTCTTCCAAGCCGTGGCGAACTACGTTCTTCTTGCGCAGCACTTTCATAGCATACACAACCTGTGTATCTTTCTTGCGGACAAGAAACACCTTCCCGATCGATCCTTTACCGATGACCTTGATCAAGTCAAAGTCGCTTACCGATACGCCATGAGCGAAGTGGCTGGAGCTGCTACCACGGCTGCTAGATATAGATGCCCGCAATGCCGACGTACTCGCATCAGTATCCAACGACGAGCGGCGGGCAGTTTTCCGGTGGTGCGACGATTCGCTTGCGTTAGCGCCCATTGCAGTGCTGAGACGGCGACTCTGTTTGCGGGGCTTCAACGAATCAAGACGATGTCGTATGACACTTCCGAGCCATGTCCGTGTCCTGCTTTCTGACTCGTGTATGAACTGGGCTGCACTGCAACCACGATCGCGCGCTGCAACGAAATATGCGAACGTCGTTTCCAGTGAAAGACTGATAGTGCGGGCCTTGTTGCTACTACTTCGTTTATGTAGCGCTGATACGGAAGCTGCAGATGGCGATGCTTTGCCATCGTCTGATGGAGCTGGTGCCGTGGGGTCTCCCACAGATAAGCAGCTACACGATAGTTTCTCCTCTTCTGCTGGAATGTGCCCGCCCACCGGAACATGTGCGTCACCCTTGAAGTTGATAACACGTTGTTTCATAAACTGAGCCATCGGCGAAGACATGGTCGATGGATCCATGCGGTACGCACCTTCTGCAAAGACTACTGCATTCACGCGCTGAACAACCTGTTCTTCACGCTTCTGAATGAGCGTCAGCACCGACTTTGCTCCGAAAGAGTAAGCCAGCACATACACGTTGCGAGCTTGTGCACGTGAGATAATGTTATCCCATACATACAACATATGCTCATCTGGTGATGAGTTTTCACGAATCGAGAATGTCGCGCTCCCAATCGTCACATTGTTCGTTGACGGGTTCAACACAGCCACTGCAAAGTTCCCTGCTGTCGCACGGCGCATGACGGGCAGCATTGATCCGAGCTCCAGTCCTTCTTGAATCAGCAGATCCCGACTCCAAATCCCAGGCTGGGCGCCGCGGCCACCGTTGACAACAACCAGCAGGTTGCTATTTGTGCGCCAGTCAGACGTGAGGAACACACTCGTACGAGCTTCTTTCGGCTCGTGTGGCTGAAGGTCCAATGGCACGCGCGCCTGTTTGAACGCCAGCTCGGCCAGCATTTCCATCTGTATGTGGAAGATGGCGGCTTTCACGATATCGTCGAGCTCGCCTGCTCTTCGCTCGTCACTCATGAGCTCGTACACAGCCTGGTTCGTGCGGCAGTGACGCAGCGTGCCAGCGTCATCAAAGTAGTAGTCCAGCTCCTCGAGGGACTCGAGTTGGTCCGTAAGCGCAATGCTTTCGCGAGCGGGTGGTGCATTGCCGTCAGTTGTGCCAGGAACACAGCTGGCACTACTGCCACCGAACTTTTGGGTCTGGAGACGCGCGGCGTCCTCTGCATTCATGCACAGAATGTACTGTCTGCCGTCCTCGCAGCTCGCGGACTCTGTGACCTGCTCGAGCGACGCAGCGAGCAGCACGACGCAGTTGGCCAGCAGTCCTGGCTCGCGCTGCGGCACGTCCACGTCGTCGTCGTTGCAGCTCTAGACTCACCAGATGGTCCACACAGTGTCAACAGTACACAACGTGACACAGAAAACAGACGTCAGTTCGTCGTGGTGACTATAAATAGACTTTGACTATAAATAGACTGTAGACGTGGGTACACGCCTACATCGCAGCGACAAGTTGAGGAGAGATATACATCGACGACCGACCATGAGGAATTCATTGACAACAGTGGGCCACGGATCCGTGGGCAGGACGAACGCCATGACGGGCGCACTCACGTCCACGACCGGTCCCTTGGCGACCGCCCGCTGCACGAACACGCGTCTGCTGTCTGCCATCGTCGTCGATTTGTCGTTCGTCGGGTTGATCGATCGACCGGTCCCTTCGGCGGTCATTGTCGCACTTAAGCGAATACCACACGATCCGCGCGATCCTTTCTTTCCCCATGTCACTCTGCGGTGTTCGCGTGCTGATTGGCTGATACCGTCGACCCGACGTTGCAGTGACCTTCATTCTTGATTTAGAATGCGCACTCGCATGGCGCGTCGCCCTCGACTGACTGCCGCGCGCATCTGCACGCGGGCGACGACACCGTCAATGGCGCTCGGGTCGGTCGCGCACGTGTCCACTACTACCGGTCACGCTCCAGGGCCTGTAGCAGGAGAGCCGCAGCGTCGTCTCCTGTACGACGCGCACGTGCCCACAACTCCGCTCCAGAAACTCGTACTGGCCGTGACGTCGGCGGTCTCGGTGTTTGCCAACCCTAACCGCAGCGACATGCTGGCCGTGCTAGGCGACGTCACGGGGCGTGACGCACTGCGCCGGATCCATGCACACATGTGCGCGGATCCCATTGGCGCACGCATTTTGGCCGACAAACCCGTGATCCGCAACCATCGGATCGATCGCGACCGTCTGCGCGCACTGCCGACGCACACGTTCGGCCATCAGTACGCGCTGTTTATGGACCGCTACGGCTTTGATGCCGACGACCGCGCGCCCGTGCGGTTCGTCGATGACCCGGAGCTGGCGTACGTCATGCAGCGCCATCGCGAGTCGCACGACTTTTGGCACACGCTGTTTGGCCTGCCCGCGACGGTCGTGGGCGAGTTGGCGCTAAAGTACGTCGAGATGGCGCACGCACAGCTGCCGGTGAGTGCGCTGAGTGCGTTCGTGGGCCCGTTGCGCCTCTCGAGCGACGAACGGCGGCTGCTGGCGACTGTGTACGTGCCATGGGCGTGTCGCGCGTCGAAGAAGGCGCACTCGTTGCACTGCGTTATGTACGAAGAAGAGTTTGAGACGCCGATTGAAGAGCTGCGTGAGCGGCTGAACATTGAAGTCGCTCCAGTGTTGTCGGAGCACAAGTGACGTGCGCGCTGAGGGCGACAAGCGCTTGTGGAAAAGGTGCGAGCGGCACAATGAGTGAGAGCGCGAGCGAGAAGAGAAAGGTGTTGTGTACCGAGCAATTTGCGTTGCTTACGATTGATATATTCCAAACAGATCGCACTCCTGGTCACTACTGCAAAGTTCGTGCTCGTGATCATGCTCAGCAGTCGGAGCAGCCGTCTGCGCGTTTGTTTCGTCTACGTTTCGTACGAGACCCTGTACGCTATTTCGACTCGAGCGTTGCGTGCTGCCGTTCTGTGCACATGGAGATGCAGTACATACAGGTACTTGATCGACAGCTTCTTGTAACATCGGCGGTGGTGCAGGAGCTGATCTGAAGACAGAAGAAGCCATCGGGGCGGCACTGAGCGGGTCAGGTACGTGCGTTTGACCAGTGTTTGTTTCTGATGTCACCACTGTCGGTGCCAACGGTGACAATGCTGGCATCGTTTTCGAAGTTGCGCCAGCCGACTGAGTCGGTTGCTGCTCCTGCAACGACAACTCGTGCTGTGTCGTACGAGAGCAATCCTTCTCAAGGTGTGGCATTATCGGTCCCGGCGCACTTGGTGAAAGAAATGGATTGTGCGCCACCTCGCACTGGACATCGTACGAGTAAGTCGTATCCATCATCGGCTTCTCCATGCGCTTCTTCTTCAGGTCGGCATTCGTGTCTACAACGCTTAAGCTTCTGGAAACGGCCTGCGTCGATACTGGTGCTGACGGAAACAACTCGTTGTACTCCGTGCTCAAGTCGCTGTGCATACTCTGCTCTCCATCACTTGTCATGCCGGCTGTAAAGCTTCCGTTGCCGTATGCATACTTGTGTCGCGCAGCTCGTTGAGCGGAAGACTTGAATGCAGCGTACTTGGGGATAGCACGCAGGTCCAAACACTCGTACTCTCCCATGCTCACAGGACTCAATGGGCCCTCCAGGGTATCTCGATCCGAAAGCGGACAATCTGGCGCTGCGCTTGTGCCTGCTGATGCAGTGTCGAAACGGCTTTGAATGCTGCTAGCGACAGACGCATTCCCACTGCCTGTGCCATTGCAGCTCGGGTCAAAAGGACGCTGAAACGAAGCTGCAAATGGGTTCCTCGCATCGTCATCAGTGTCAAAAGCGTGAGGCGCGAACGTCTGTCCGGTCCTGTCCGACCCGACCGGCTTTTCAACGCCGTTGATGCCAAACATCTCCGAAAAGGCCCCAGATATCTCCGATCCCAGTGCCGATATCTCCGAGCTAAATTCAGCCGCCGTTACCGATTGTGCGCCGGCACGTGGAAGCCGACCGTCCATCGCTGCTACCAACTTCTCATCGCCTACGTTTGCATGTGCATTCTTCAACGTCACAGTTGCTGTCAAAAGCTGTAGATACGCGACTAACTCATCGCGACAGCCCTTTGCTCCCACTTCCCCCGTCACCGCGTACTCTGCCAGCAATGTGTTCGCAAGCAGCACCAGCTCGCTGATCTGGCTCAACCGCTTCTCCATCTTGCTGTTCCAGTCTCCCATCCCCACGACCCAACGACCTGCATCAGCGACATAGGCGACACTAGACCTGCAGACAGCACCAGCCAGCGAGTCAGCATGAGTTAGTGCCGCGAATCGAGACGCGTCCGACCTACTCCAATTCATCGCGAATCTCGTCCCGGTACTCGTAGCAGCGCTGGAAGAGCAGCGCCGCTGCGTTGACAACGCCTACATGACGCATTCGGTGCAAGCAAAAGTCAGTTAGCTAGTGACTTGGGCAGTCCAGTCGTCTACGAATACGCAATAGCGACTGTAGACGCACAAACGGGCAGATTCGGTCCCATGCGCTGGAAGAACTTCTCATGGTAAATCACCTGTCAGCAGCAACCAATGCAGTTGTGGTCATTCTCAACGTTACGGTGCTCTATCTAAGGGGAAGCATGGGCGGTACTTATCATTCCAATACGTCTCGCACCTTTTTCATAAAAGTAGCCAGATGGTCCTTCACGCAAGCAATAGCTGTCATGGACTTGCCGATGCTCGAGATGGACTGCCCTGCGCTGAATATCGACGCCATGCTGCGATGTTCGTCAAGTTATGCGTACGTAGAGTCAAAGCGAGAGCAGGAACGGCGAAGTCGACAATGTTGCAGACGTGAACGTAGAGGCTGGACAGCTCTGGTGTTCTTTGCTCAGATGTGCGTGAGCAGTTTTGTGTCGATATGCGTTACGAAAGTGTTGAGCCGCTGCGCTCGAACACAATTTGTGCCGCATCAAAAATAGGCAGGACCAAAATGAAACGGACCGGCAATGTGCACGTCTGAACGCTCGTGACCCAGCAAAGCTGCACCAAGCGCTGGATGGGAAGTCACAGCTGGGAAGCACACGCGCGCAAAGAAGAGCGACAGTGGTATGCTCTTCCCCTCTCTCGCAACGCGCCAAGGGCTCTGTTGCGATTGCAACAGGTGATTTCCCGCCACTCTCTATCTGTCAGGAAAGACTAACGAACAAGACATGTAGAGCCCCACTCCAGGCGAAAGTCGGCTGTCGCAACTGCGAAGAACGAGCCTTTCGAGCACGTTCGAGGCCCATCAAACAACACAGCAGCCGCTAGTCTCGACGACGGTCAATGAGGTGACTGTCGTCGAGCAATGTGGGTGTCGGCATTGCAGTGCATTCCATTGAAACGGCTGGTGGCCGGTGTGATGAATGGCGGCACGTGGCTCGACTGCCTTTTCTCTGAACCAGACACGATGTAACTAGCGACAGCCAGCACGTCCCATCGCTCTGTGATCAGTGAGGCGTTTCTCGTGGATGAGACCTGACAGATGGCACTCAGTATTCAGAGCACTGACACTGATACCGATGACGGAGAGGCATCATCGATCGATCGGACGTCACCTGGAAAACAGCGCTTTCATCCTGACATTCACGTGAGAACTGCTACGACTCGAGCAGTTTGTCGTGGAACCTGTACAACAGTTCGGCTTCCACGCGCCGCTTATTGAACCGAAATTGCGCACTAAGGACTACGTCTCTAGCGCTTAGCGCGTACCATATACATCAATACACTCCGTAGAGTCAGACGCTTACATGAACAAGTCTTTGGACGGCCACGGACAATGCAGTAATGCTCACAGGCTGCACTAGACTGCCATGGCCGCCAGCACAGCACAGCACGATCCTTTCACCGATAGACGCTCGATGACGGCAGACACTGCAAGTACCCCGACTATCCCGTGCTGGTGGTAACGCTTATCGTGTGAAACCACTAACCTGTCACAGCGTGACGAGCAGTTGGTTCTCTACAAACGAAATGCTCTGGCGCAAGAGGTCGACGCGCCTTCCGTTAGTCGGTGAGCTATACACACTACGCGTAGTGCGTTCGCTGCAAATCTTCCAGTAATGACAGCCTGATGGTTTGAATGTCAAGGACGGAAGTAATGACTGGCCCGTAATCACCGACAGATCAATCACTCAATCAACGCACATGTCTTTGATGGATCACCGTGAGCGAGACCCACACACGGATGCAAAGCAGCAACGACCCAGTAGAGCTATGCAAAAAAGCTTTTGCATACACCTGAAGCTCGCGGCCCAGCTACTGTAACACGCAAACCGATTCGAAGCCGCGGCATTTCGAGACAAACCGCGGCACTTACACCCACATCCGGACACTTTCGGATGTCGACATTCCTGCGATACACAGTCGCGTCCGACTGCCGTAGGAGACCAAGTGGTGGCTCAAACCGTCTGTGTTCTCGGACACGCGCGTGCGTGGGTGACAAGGGCCTTGCGAGCATTTGGGTTACAGAAACGCGTCGCGTGGACGGACGAAAGGCTCTGCGGGAACTGCCCACCGTCGTGTCGTCTGCGAAACTCGAGTGTAAAGTCTCTGCGGGCTTTGCGGCCGTAAACGCTTCCCCGGCTCGACGAGGTCTTCACAAACGAGGTCACGAGGTCTGTGGAGTGTCGAGAGTGACCGACAGGTCTTCAAGACCTGCGAAGGACGCAACAGTCAAATCGAGTCGGCACGACCAGCAGTTTCAAGGTCGCTGCAATCGGCAGCCGTCCCGCCTTCGCAAACCAAGTCGGCCCTGCTCTTTACGCCGTCGGTGCCACGCCGTCCGTACATACGTACGTACGTCGTCGGTCCATTTCGTAGCACTCTGGAATTCCCTAAACAAACGGCACTCGCACTGTTGGGGTCGAGTTGTCTCCTAGTCGTTCGTAGTTCGTTACCTGTCTTCAAGATGGGCATTCGCACGGACCACGGCGCTTTCTACAGCACCAGCTCCGTGTTCACAAATTCTTTGAACGGGTCGAATTACAGCAGCGGGGGGAATGTCGAGCACGGTCTCTCCGTCATGGCGATGACAATTGGACCCGACGGTGGTCGTCGGAGTCTCGATAGCCTCGAGCCCTCAGCTGTGCTCGGCAACAACAACCGCTTCGTCGCGGGCAGCAAGTTCTTTAATTACCAGCAATTCGGAGCCCTGCGTGAAGGCGGGAGCGTCAGTCTCTTTTCGGCGTCTTACTTTGGTCTGCTCGTTGCGACGGCCCAGAGCAGTATCGTCTATGCGGCCCTGCGGTTCTGTATGCGACCGACACTTATGCACTCGCTCATGCTCGAGCGATCCGAGAGCTCCGTCGTCATTGAGTGTCTCTTGAGTATTCCCACGACGCTCAGCTTCTTTCTTGGGTTGCTGTCGGACGTTGTGCCAATTGCTGGATATCGTCGAAAGTCGTACATGATTACTGGGACTTTGCTGAGTTTCGTTATGTGCATGGGGCTGATGATTTTATCGGCAACCTCCTGCGTCGAAAGCTCCAGCGAGAGCAAGCGCAGCTACCACATTGTTCATTACATGGTGCTCATCATTGGCGCAACTTCCGGAACGATGCTCAGTAAAATAGCCACAGATGCACGAGTGATTGAGCTATCCCAACGGGAACCGCTCACTGCACGTGGAAAGCTGCAGATCAACTACTTACTCTTTCGTACAGGTATCGAGTGGATTGGACTCTGGCTGACCGCAGCGCTCGTGCGGTACGACAATGAGTATCGGAGCTACGCTTTACAAATTGATCCGTTCTGGGCCTATGCTACATTGGCCCTGCTGAGTCTCGTACCTGTGCCCTTCGTCTTGCGTAATTGCAGCGAACGCAAGGCTCGAGTCGACGTTGGCACAATTCATGGAGAAGTTCTTGAAGAGGTTGGTGTGCCTATGATCTCCTCGGCATCTTCGACACCTACCGCTCGTGTTGGTGCTTTCTTTCGCATGTGCCAACAGCGAGCGATGTGGCAACTTGTCGTGTTCCTGTGTATCCTGTTGGCGACCACCCGTTTCCAGTTTGACTCGGCTAATGCAGTGCTTGTCATTATGGCGAAGCTGAACCCGAACACTGCCCTCGTGACGAATGCGCTCAAGTATGTATCGACTCTGATTTCCATGATCATGTGGAAAGTGTTTTGGACCAACTCGTCTTGGCGGTGGTGTGTAAGTCTCGGTGTTGCTGTCACAATCGTACCGGAGACTATTCGCGCTATCATGATGATTTACGTGCCGTCAGTCCGTGGTCAGGCTTTCTACGACGCTCTCGGGTGTATTCCGGGTTTTACGGACGGGATCATTACGATATTCTCGCTCATTCCGGCAACGGAGATCGCTGAAAACGGCTCGGAAGGTGCTACGCAGGGAATGTTGTTATCATTCCGCAGCACAATTGCTGTTGCTATGCGAACTCTTAGCAGTGACTGGATGTCTGACATTGCCCCTGTGAGTATAAGCAGCGGAACGAGTCTGCTCCTGTTGCTACTCCTCATCTCATTTGTTGTACACGGTTTGGCTTTCTTCTCGGTGCTTTTGCTGCCCCGCCAGAAGCTGGATGCACAGCAAATGCGGGTATACGGCGGCTACAGCAAGTTCGCGTGTATTGCGATTTGGATCATCTATATCGTCTTCTTTGTCTACGCTATGGCTGTGAATTTCAAGGCCATGGCTGACATGGCGGGCTAGGATAATAGTTGTAAGATAAGTATGTGATAATAGAGGGATAACATTGGTAGATTTTCGGAATCGGCTATATGCGAAGAGTTTATGAACGAGTTGCCGGGCTTAGAAGTAGTGCCTTGCGCTGCTTTCATGCAGAGCAGGTAGACATTAGTATCAAGACGTCTCGATTATTTCCTTGCAGCAAATGTCAGAGCCGTTTAGGATAATAGAGAGCATAGTTTGGCTAGACATCAAATGCCATGGCCAAAACAACAACAAACTGATTGACGACTGCTTTGACACTTCGGATGCTTTGTTAGTGTTGATATCGATAAAATTGATGCACTATCGGTATTCCACATTTGCATTGTTTCTTGTACCGTGGACTGTATCAAAAAGGCAAACTGCTAATGAATGAGTTACGGTGCTCAAGACAGGTGATAGCCATACCATGCAGCTGATTTTTGCACAATCCATGCTAGTCGCGATCGTTGCAAGTCGGAGAATATAACTTGCAGATATGACACTTCTGCCTGAAAAGAAATGATGCCAGCACCATGGCCATCTGCCAACGCAGATTGAGTTGGCTTCGACGTCTTCGTGAGCTCCGTGCGCACGATTCTACATACCATTTTTCCTACTGATGTTATTTACAAATATATTCGCAGTTGACGTCGACCTTTTAGCAGGGCGGTTGGGTTTTTACAAAACAAAAAGTGGACTAATTCATGCATATTTCTGCGAGGCGTTAAATGTCCCGAATTCAGCTGTCAAACATCTATCTTTACTGTCAGCGATCAAGATCCAAACGACAACCGCTAAATACTTTGTTCACCGATAAATTATCGTTCCTATTGAATGTCCCAAATGCTGAAAGCTCCTTCACTATCATGAAGCGCTTGATCATAGTAGTATTAGCCTGCTCGCACTGACAGCTTCTAATTGTGTTTATGTAAAAAACAGCATGGGAAGTGCATATCACAGTACCAGAACTTTACAATAATTAGAGATGTGCCTTTGTGTGTCACTCGATACGTAAATGAGTGCGTGCGTGCGATGCAGTAGAATTGATGATGCTTGGTGCACCTTGAAGGTCGTCAATGTTTTACGTTCGTCAAAGTCGTGATCCCATCAACACTCGTCACAGATAGAAACACAATGGTATAATCATATGCCGAGTCTTACCTGTGTCCGGCTTACGATCGACTTCATCTCACTGTTGACGCAACTCAGGCAGTTTTTTCGTCACGAATGCTATGTAGCAACGACATGAATGCGCGGAGGCAGTCATTACGTATCCGGAATCAGCTCGGCTGGCATGGCGAACGAAACAAAGGTCCAGCCCAGATCGAACGGGAAGGAAAGCAGTCAGTGTGCGACTTCTGATTGCATCCAATATCGATCGAACCCTTCTATATGCTCGTGGTTCGCGTATACAATGATTGACTACGACGGTGTCTGATATGACTCATGACATTTGACCGGGACAACCAAGGCTTGCGGTAAAGTGCCATGTGCATCTGGTGCCAACTTGTGTATTTTGTCCATAATTGTTGGCAATTTTTTTGTGAATTAGTCCATAGTTCTGGAACGCTCGCTACATCTATCGGGATATGTTGTAACGGGGTGAGCCCGTTACATAAAAATTGGTCCGAAAGTACCAATTTTCGAATGTTATCTTTTTGATAATATTCAATTAACATCACTCGAGAAAAGCGAAGTTGTCGGAATATTACCTCTAAGGGTAATATTCGTGGAGGGGTCCACTTTTTGGTTGATGCACCGTGTAGATCAAACAATGTAACCACCAATCGCTGCTGGACGCACGCAATGGGTGGTGGACAGAAGACCCACATAGGAGACAGTAGTTTAATATAGTTAGATTAAGACGAAAGATAATTTAGTAAGAAAATAACTATATTAAATAACAGTTCTACTTTTCCCTCAAGACAGAGCTTTCGTGTTCTGTATTATCTTGGTCGCGCTCCCTCACGCCACGTGTACGTGACTTCGGGCGTACGCACCCTTGTATAGTTATCAATGCAAGACCTTGCTCAGTTATCTGAGCAAGAGCGTGCCCCGTTACACCTGGTAGCACTTTGTTGTCCTTCCAACGACCACCCACCTTATCCATCATGAACATGATGGATGAGGAAGAGAGCATTCACGCCACACGCAAAGGCTTCGCCTATTTGAGTGACCTCGAATAGGTCGCGGTAGGGCGAATGAGCTCTACCGTGTGCAACATTGGCGTTCCCGCAAAGTTGGAAAAACCTTAACAGAGACCAACAATATGCCGCCATTGCCAGGTTCATTCAACATGAACTTGGCGCGGAACGAGAGAAATAGCCTTGCTTCACCAGCAAGGATCTCAACAGGCTGAGCAGTTGAGAGAACTCGGTGCTCAACAGACAGAGCTGTTCAGACAGCAGCAATTTAATCCTGCTGTGGGCGGGACGACGCACACGCGTCGCCCCAAAATCTTGAAGGTTGAAATCTACAAGTACAGAGGAGTCGAGGGAGACTCCCTGTTATTGTGGTTCGTCGAATTTGACAGAGCCATAAGAGTATGTCGCATCGGCGATGAGCAAATGAAACTAACATTTGCTCAAACCCACTTGGCAGGACGTGCCAAAACTTGGGCCTTAGGCCTGGAGATGAGCGACCCATACGCTTTTAAATCGCTCGAATCCTTCAAAACCCGGCTCAAACAAACGTTTAAGCCGCCAAGGGCTGAGTTCAGGGCTCGATCAGAGCTCCTGAAACTCAAACAAGGTAAGCGTGATGTGCACGCTTGCGCTCAGCATATACGACTCCTTGCGAGTAGTATAACTGCCAACCCAGTTCATGAACACACGTTGATTACGGTGTTCATGCAAGGGCTCGTAGACGGGCCCGTCATGAATCACCTGTTCCGCCTGGAGTTGAATACTCTAGAAGATGCTATTGCAGCAGCGGAACAGGAAGACTTAAGCATAAGACAGGCTCATGCTATCTCAAACTCTTATCGTCCACCGAGACGACAAGAGATCGGAGGTCCAGAACCAATGGACCTCTGTTATGTTGAGAGCAAGAGAACACGCTCTTCGAAAACAAGCGATTGCAGAAGTGCAACCGATGACAGAAGTTGGGACACTACGCTTACGAGTGCAGTGCCCCTCGCCCAGTACCTAGCAGTACTGAGAGAAATGGTCGTCCATTTGCCAAAAGGGGAAATGGGCGTGAATCCAATGCTATTGCAAAACCGCAACGGAAAAGCGGACCATCAAAGAATGGCCGGGGTCTGTAGGAGCGGAGCGCCTTACTGATCCAGCAACCTCAAGATAATTTGCAAATCTCTTGACGAAAGTTTCTCCAGACACACAGTCACTGTGTGTATCTGCACCTGGTGATAAGATATCACTCATCACCTTGAAGTTAGAAGTGACAAAAGATATGTCACTTCACGCTCTGGTTTACTGTGGGGCGTCGAATAATTTTATTCGTTGCCAGTCACTGGAGGATCGTGGGACCAAGGTCGTTGAGCGCCATATTCCCCTCACGAGGATGACGTTGCGCCTCGCCACAGGCGCATCTATTACCCTTAAGAAGCATATAGTGGGAATCCACTACCCGTTATAGGACGAACAGTACGATGATGAATTCATCGTATTGGATCTGGATGACAAATTTGATGTAATCCTAGGATCACCTTGGCGCAGAAGGTACGAGCCAAGGGTGAGCCGGCAGCATCAATCCGTGAAGATGCCTGTCGCTTGTTCATCGGATGGTCATCTGATGAACATCTTGGAGCGTCCACAAGCGTGTGGATGTTCTGCGAGTGAGTGCGATAGCCTCACTTGCGGTAAGGTCGTTAGCACGACTGCACAAGATCACAGTGTAGTTGATCACTACACTGTGGAGAAAGCTCCCGGCGGCTGTACAGAAGTACAGGCGGCGCCGAAGGTCCACCACTCGAAATATGTCGAGTGGATCGGGACATGGATGCATGCCTAGCGGGCAGCATCTTAGACAGAAGGAACCTGTTGCCCCCAAAGGGCAACATGAACATCCTAGGTCGACTGGAGAGTCGACCGTAGAGGATCGAGTACCTGACTGTGGTTGCACAGCCACAGTCAGAAGACGTCGAGGGAATAAGTCCCCACGTGCTTGAGGAAGGAATTCCTCAAGAGTCACTTACTGAGGGATCAGGCCCTCAGCAACCTGTGGAAGCAAGTTCCCAGGAAGAAACCGAGACGTTGAACGTCTTGGTTAATGACGGATCAAGCGTAGGCGCTTATACGCTTGATCTGATTGTGCCTCCGAATTTTAACTTCGGAGATAACTCAATTGCCGAGGCTAGAACCGAAACGGTTCTTGCGCGATCTGCGTAGTGGCAAAGTCAAGCAGATCTGCATACTCGTCTCAGAGGATGAGTATGTGGCCGATATTTGGTCGGCAATAGTATTTGCTGGGAACGAACAGGTTCTCAGCAGCTCATCGATGGACGAAAGTGTCCTCGATGAGAAGACTCGGATTGAGACGATACGACGTCTCAATTCTGGGAGTCACTTCAGGCAAATCCTTTGTATAAGGATTTGATCGAATTCAAGGATGTGTTCCCTGAATCCGTACCTTGCGAGTCGCCTAAGGACAAAGGCACTCGACACGCGATCGAGCTCAAACTGGGCTCGAAGTACTGTGTCATGAAAAAGTGACCACTGCCTCGTGAACAAGTTCTAGCGATCGACTAGTTCTTTACCGATCTCTTAGCAGAGGGCCATGTAGGGAAATCAACATACCCTCACAGCTCTCCGACCATCTGTGTGCGAAAAGCCACAGGAGAATGGCGGATAGTGCACGCATTCAACATGTTGAAGGCTGCAACGGTACCGGCTCAGACGACGATACAGAGGAAGGACGTAATCATAGATATTATGTCAAAGAGTACCATCTTTTCGTCCATGGCTCTAATGGATGGATTATATCAGATCCTCATGCGTGAACGGGACATCCCGTACACAGCAGTGAGCACCCCCAGCGGT